TGTAAAAATAAATCAAATGATATAATTAATGAAGAGTTAGACGTTGTGACCAAAAATATGGATAAATGTTTTAAGAGAGCCATTGCTGTAATCAAACTTGAAATGAATGAAAAAGTAATTTAAAATCCATTTATTCATTATATAGTAATTTTGTTTTCAATTTTTTTTATTATAGAAAAACATTTGGTTAGAGGATACAAAAGAGTCAATGTCTTCATTAAACTCCGGTCTTTCGCTTTCATCTTCTTTTTCTTCTTCTTCTTCCGAAGAGTACAATCAAAACGATCGAACAGTCAGTATATATAATAAGTTTAGTTTAATATCTATTTCTAACTTACAATGAAATATTTGAAAAAAGTGTGGAGATTTGATGGGCGATAGAAACCAGAGTTTTTCATCGATTTCTTCATCATCTTCTCCGACAAGTTATGTTGGTTTACAGTCAGGAAAATTCGGTTTATAAACATTTTATAACCTTTTTCACTCAAGACTATGGGAAGATTAACCTACCGTTAAGTCATTACTTTCCCTGTAAAGAGCGGTAGTCCATTTCACTCTTAACCTATATTCCCATATACTGTTCAAAATGAGACACGATTTAAGTCCCCTTGGTAATCGCTAACACACTATAAATGTAAAGCGAATAAATTATATTTAAAAATTTAACCCAAATTTACACCAACAAAACGATAAGCTCCTAATAAAGGGCTGCAATATTTCATTCATAAAAATATTTCTTATCCCAAATTGAATTGAAATTTTCTTAATACAGATTCTAGTGAATGAAGAAATTGTCAAAAGAGTACAAAATGCCAACACTTCAGAAGCATTGGTTAATAATTTGGATTTAAACAAGTCGTTTACAATTAAAGTCCAAAGCTTTTCATACTGTGGTAAACAGTGTGGAGAAGTGGTGACTGAATATGTGGCCAAACCAGACATACCTGACAACCAATTCATGGATGCATCAAATGATGTGAATGCCTATCAAATTACAAGACTTTAAACTAAATTTTAAGTTATATGAAGTTCTGCCAAATTTTATCACAAATTCAGTTTAAAAATACATTTGTTTGATTCACTTATAAATATATTGTTTCTCATAATTCATACAAACTTTATTGCATTTTATTGTAATTCATATTTTTATACAATATTCACATATTTTTAGAGAAATTGCTTTCAGGAAATATTAGAAATATGATTTAATAATTAATTATTTTAATAAATATAAAAATCTGATAATAATTTATAAAATAGACGTCAAAAGTACATAATTTCTTGTAATAAAGTTCCTATTAATTAATAATTAAATATTTTGGACATATATTTAAAAATTTAATTAATTTCCTTATAATGTATTATAAAATAACTTTACACTCAAAACGTGTCATTTATCGACGATTTAGTGTTTTTCATCTCAAATAAAAATTTAATTTATAAATAATTTAATATTTAATTATATTTATTAATTGTCTGAAAAATAAGAACATAATTGAATGAAAATGAATTATAACTTATTTATATTATTAATAATTTACAATTATTCAATAAATATATACAAAGTGTGAATAACACAAATATAGTCCAATAATAACTCCATAATTATAATGTGTATTATATTTATTAAATTAAGTTATTTATAAATTAATATGAATTAAAATAAATGAACAAAAAATAAAACAATTTATTAATTGAATAAACTTTTTGAACTAAAGTTTGTATAAAGTGTACGTAATTTATGAACAAATCGTTGAAAAATGCTTCGATTGGTTGAGAGGTGTTTAATGTGAGCCAATGAGAGGCGATAGAGATATGCAATGATATGACAGTTGAAAGTATGAATAGTTTGGTTGGTTTGCATTGAGTCTGCATTGCATTCAATCGTTTGAGTCTATAGTCTATGCTTTGAAACATCACTTGAATTGATCCGAAGTTGTGAACGGTACCTAAGCTGCCTGTGGCCAGAAGTCCTTACCGACGACTTTCTCCTGTTGCTCAGCCACCACCTCCTGCTCCTGAATGGCGTCTACATTCACAACATCACTACAATACTCGCTACAATGTGTGCTTAAAGTGTGTTTTGTATGAATGGATCCATTGATGGATAGGTTTGGCAAAGAAGTGGCCGCAGATATAGAGGCGGACACTCGTGAGGCGGTGCAGAAGATAACCGTTGTTTGGATGCAAATGGGATTAAGCACTCAGGATATGGTGAACCGCATGAAAGAGATTAAACAAATCCATTCGACGGCCAATAGGAATGCGCTGAAGACCGAGACCTCATGTCTGGAGCGACTGATCCAATACACGGACACAAAGCTGAGCCAAATCAATGTGATTCTCGCGGACTTAACGCTACCGGCGTTTACGGCGCCGACCGATGTGTCGCTCAAACAGTTGGGAAGAATTCTTGTCTATAAGTTCAGTGAATTGGAAGCGCTTAAGAAGGAAAGGCTCAACCAATTGACAGAACTGAAGTCGAAACGAGACAAACTGCTGAAGAATATGAATATGAAGGCCAAAGAGTTGAGAACCGCCACTAATATCCCATCTGATGAAGAGTTGATGCATTTGCAGAGCTATGTCTCCGATCTGACGAAAGAGCGCTCAAAACGATTCAATAAATACAAGTCTTTGAAGAAAATAATCGAAGAGCTCTTCAAAGAACTCGAAAGGGATGTGAACTCAGACTTTGAGAAACACCTCTTATTTGAAGAGTCAGACGATTTCATACTATCCGACGATCACATGAAGAGATTAGCGACTCTTCACTCAGAGCTCGAGACTTGTTATCAACAAAATGACGACAAGAGGAAGGAAATGGAGAAAAGATTGGATTCGCTTTGGAATAAACTGGAAGTCGAACAAAGCTATAGAGACGCCTTCTATCGCAATAAGAATGGCTGCAAACCATCGGTTTTGGCTCTTCTCGCTGATGAGGTGAACAAATATGAAGAACTGAAGCGACAAAACATCGAAGTATTCATTGAAAAAGTTCGCCAGGAATTGGAGGAATGGTATGACAAGTGCTATACTTCTGATGAGGAAAGAGACAAATTTCAAGAGTATTTCGATTGCAATGAATTGACTGAAGATTTACTCGATTTACACGAAAAAGAGTTACAAAGACTTCAGAATCACTAGTTACTTACGCTTCTCTACAAGCTGGCGAACAGACTTACCGTATTGGTAACCCTTGCTATAGTTCTCAACCTCTTGTTTCGGTTACTAGGTTTGGCAAAGTTGTTGTCTCCGCCTCGAGAAGAGCGGGAAGAGCGGGAGAAGAACGCCATTAAGAAAAAGTTACCAAAAGTTGAGAATATTCTCAAGAAATTGAGTGAAGAAAGACATCAACAAAAGGGACAGCACTTTGAAGTGTTTGGAAATGCAGTCAAACAATACTTAGAGAACCAAAAGATGGAATACCAGGACATGAAAGAGAATGAGAAGAAAGAGAGACAACGACTCAAACTAATGGAGAAGAATGGAGGGATGAAAGGCGGCCCGAAATCCACTCCTGTTTGCGGTGTTGTCTTACGCCGGACTCCCGTCAAGAGAGGCTTTACTCCCGCCTCTCCCGGACGTAACGGTGACTCAAACAGTAAAGTTCGTCGCATTGGAGGACCGCTGACGCCATCGCGTGAGATGAATAGCCGCGCGCAGACCAACCGACCCGTTGTGGGCCGAGAAAAGCCCGTTCCCAGAGCTCGAGCCCGCAATTTAGAGGCACAGATGAACCAAATGCTCGAAACTAATATCTCGGCCTCTGTTCTCAGCATCAATGAGGAACAGTTTCAGGTGAGTTAGCCATACATTCAGTGCATTGGTTTGATTTGATTTACTAAACATTGCCATCACTTATAGGCGCCGCTCACAGACCGAGACTACGGTAACTCTACTTTCATAAGTACGACACAAAGACCTCAATCGCCAACACGTAATGTCACCAAAAGACGAGAACCCAAAACCAATGCTATTCATCGAAGACTTTCCCGGAGTTGCAATGATTTGTCGGAAGCGACCAAAAAGATGCAAATAACTAATGGCTTGCATTTGGCGACCACTAGAAGTACTCCGGCGTCACCGCAACCCAAGAGCGCTTATGGCGCGACTCCGAGTCGATTACCTCGTATTGCAGTCGGACAGCGGAAACGACCATTTCTTCCCTTTTAATCACAATTACGTCAAACATATTTATTTTGTATTCAAACTTATTTGTACTCCAATTGATATAATTGTCTGTCTTTTATATACCTTTTAATTTTTCATTTATTTTATCATAAGAAACGAAACTTATATTAAAATAGGTTGTAAAGAATCTATAATATTAAACAAATATTTATTCTAAAACTACTTTTATAAAGTAAATATAAGACATAATTTATGGTTAAAACATAATAAAATTTAATATTGGTTTATGATAACAATGTGTTTTCACTCATTTCAATGTTTAAACTTTTCAAACTAAATTCAAATCTACAACACATGACAGCATTAGCATAGGTATTGAAATGTAACTCAATATTATTTTAAATATATTGGTTTATGATAACAATGTGTTTTCACTCATTTCAATGTTTAAACTTTTCAAACTAAATTCAAATCTACAACACATGACAGCATTAGCATAGGTATTGAAATGTAACTCATAAACTAAATGTTGTCAAATCAATAATTAGCTTATTGTTCGGATAAATGATAGTTTGCAAACTCTGCTAATCTGTGTCACAATTGTCTATATATCACACCAATTATTGGTAACCAATGGCCAGGTGTACAGTACATGAATGCATGAATCTATTAATGTGATCATCATGATTCATGTGATAACCACAGGTATTCCTAATCACATCAATACAACATTACTGTACTGTAAAGGTATTACTGTTAACATACCATAGAGTACTGTATACAGGTATTACAGTATTATTGCTATGTTTTTAAGCTCAAAATCAGTGTCCAATAGTAGACAAGAGACTGACTGTACGTCTGTATGAATCATATGATAGGAGACGTCAAACCAATAGATGTCTCTAAAGTGTGTATAATTGGAGTCAATGTTTACAATCGCTGACAGAGAGACAGACTGTGAGTGAAGAGTATTGAAGAGTATTGTCTCAATTGGCAGAAACATTACCACTATATCTGACATCTGGTTGAGTGACAATCACTGCAATCACACAACTATGACATCCACTCCAAGAAGTGCTGGCGAAGACTCTCTCAACGGTATGTCTCATCGCTTTCACTATTGTTTGCCATTAAGTGTTGAATCCATACAAAGACATTGTCTTTAAGACAATTGTCACCCATTTGTGCCATTGATGTCCATTTGGACAAAGAGTAGAGTAGAGTAGAGACAGTGATAATGGATGGCGGAGTTGTGTCGGCCCGAAGAGGGTCTCAATGGTTGACTCGTTGGAGACAATTGTCTTAAGATTACATAAAACTACGCAATAAATGATTGAATAGTAATCTATGGCTGAGATTGCAATCAATTGATTGTCACTTCACTTATCATACGGTTTGACAATACGTTTGTCACGTCTTCACCGCTCGACTCAATGACAATCAAATCAATGCCTTTTCGCTACTCTTTCGCATCGAAACAATCGATTGATTGATAAATGCATTAAATTATTGATTAAATAATGTCTTAATTAAGTTGTAATTGCATTCAAATGGCATTTAATATATGTTTACTGAAAACCTTTGAACCATATGTGCGACCAATGAATGGGTCGTTCACTTCTTGGGCTCAGCAATCAAAACAAATAACATGTAAACCAATGCCAGTTGAATGAGTTAAATGCCATCACTTTTAATCATTCAATCAATAGGTATTGCTTTCCCTCACTTCAACACTTCCACTCACATTAACTAATACTGTATTAATATAACAGCATTTGAGAGCAAATATCCATCATTTGGTTGTTTAAAACATATTGACATTAATGTTATAATTGAAAGCAAAAGTTTGTAAACAATGATTACATAAGTTGTGATTATAAATGCGTTTTATTTGTTTGATATGACTATTGATTACAAATAATGACAATAAATGTTAGGTTCAGACATATGTGAAACACCATTTGAAAAGTGGTCAAAACTGGCTCTTATATTAATAATCACTAAATCTTGTAATTCTCGCACATATTTTGAATACAATTAATTATAAATAAAAATACTGAAAACAATTTTGTAGATATAATGTTGTGACACATAATAGCTATAAATTGCAATAAAACTTTAACAGTAATATTAAGATAGTTATAGTTACTGTTAGCCTTTAATACTGGCCAACTTTCAAATAATGGTTATACTATATTTTGGGACACATTTTTACACAGTTTTGTTTTTGATATCTATATTGACATGACATTACATTAGCATTAGTTGCAAATTAGCCGCAATTGTGTAACTAATTGGTACTATTTGTTGAATACATTGAATTGTGTTTAATAGAGTCGTGGGTCGAAGTGAACGGTAGCCAAACGATGGGAACTCCCGTTCATCTGATGGGAAGAAGTGGTGGAATACACAGTGGTTTCCATAGTCTCGAAAGACTTCTATGGGAAGCACAGAAAGAGAGCAATCAGTCTTCATTTGGCGGAAGCGCTCGTAATTCGCATAGCATTAGCCCAAAGAGCGCTCAAAGTCCGGTCTTTCCTGTCGAGTCGTTGTCTCCAAATGAGTCACTCTTTTGCAAAGTTTGTATTGAATTGATTTAATTATTTCTTCTTTTATTAACCAATGATTTGTGTTATGTATTTAGGATGAAATGCTTGAACGGAGTCGACAGTTGAGCACTGATTGGTTATGGGATTGGAGTACAAGAGATCAATTGCCAAAGTATTTAAACATTTAAAATGCATTGAATTAGTGTAACATAAAAGTTGTTTGTAATGATCGCAAGGGAGTGGACATTGAATCAAATGGTGCCGTTGAGGAAGAGTCGTATGAGTTTACGTCAGTGGGCTATAAGACGAGGCCTTTTCTCCAAAGAAGTTCTGTCTCTACTATTGCTGACCAATATTCTGTCCCTCATTCTCGGCGCTGGCATTGGTTACACGATTTTGGTTCGGAGGACTATATAATGTGTCCATTAAATGATGTTTTGTGTTCACGTAATTCATAATCGATTGGTATTTAGTATAATATATCTTATATGACAGATGTATGACAACTATATCTTAATTCATTTAATATGAGTATAAAATAGTTTGTATTGTTGTTGGAAAAACAATAGATGAGATAAAACTTGATGTTCAGTTACAGTTCAACTCATTCTATCAATTATATTAATTGTCTTTTTTTATTACATAAAATAACTCATTTAGTTATTAATTGATATAAATATCACATCATTAATACAATTCTATATATAATACACTCACATAAATATATTTGTTTTATCAAATCTATATTCAATGCTTAAAGCTTTGAAGCTCTTACAGTTGAAAAGCTGTTTGTGGTTTAAAACCTATTGTATTTTGTGCACCAAATATCAATACCGGATCATAGCTTATGATAGACTAATTAATATATATATATATTTATTTAATATTTACGGTATTAAGTGATTGAGTTATAGTAAGTGCCTGTCAGTGAAAAATTAGCATATTTTCTATCCATTGCCCGACCGATCGAAGTGTTGCAAAACAATTAGCTTTATTTATGTTATGTCTGCCCTCCGATTCAATCAGTTCTCTAAATTGATGTTTTATATAATTTTTTATTAACAAGAATTAAACATTTTTGTACATAAATTACTATTATTGGGATATTCGGTGTATTTAACTATATATATATTTAACTATTTATGTTTTTGTATATTTGACTATTCATTGAAATAAATCTCTTGTAAACAATAAGTACTGAGGAATAAGTGAATCTTTGTATATGTTTGTTGTCAGTTGTGGTAACCGTTGGAGACAATTGACACTTAGCTTCACATCGGATGACAGCATAACTAATAGAACACAGAATCGCATCAATAGTTGTGGAAATCATTTTGACGATCAATACATCAATTTCTCACTTTGCATATCAATTATGGTAATTATGAACAATGGTTTGATTTGAGGACTCTTCGGTAAACTCTGATTCTTTCGGTTTTAGGGATTGTTAGCTCTATTGAGGAAATTGAAGGCAACCCCTAATAGGGAGCTAAGAATTCTTCTTCTGGGTCTCGACAATGTTTGTATCAATACTTTCTCATCAATACTTAGCTCTCGTTTTGAACATTAGACGCTTTTTTATTTGTATATAAAGGCAGGAAAGACAACAATTCTCAAGAAGATGGCCTCCGAAGACGTTACACATATAACACCGACTCAGGTATTGATTTGCACTCTCTTTACGGCCAACTCATGCAATATTGGAGTGCTTTTAGGGCTTTAATATAAAAAGTGTTCAATCGGTGGGCTTTAAGCTGAATGTGTGGGACATCGGAGGACAGCGTAAGATAAGGCCGTATTGGCGTAATTACTTCGACAACACAGACGTATTGGTCTGTCATCCAAACCAATCAATGCGTTTCAATCAATTAATTGTTGCATTTCTTAGATTTATGTCATCGACAGCGCAGACAAGAAGAGATTTGAAGAAACATCTGTGGTATTCATAATTGTTTTATTCCATTACTTGTAATCATTGGACTATTTATATAGGAATTGAACGAACTATTGAGCGAAGAGAAACTGATTGGCGTCCCTATACTGGTCTACGCTAACAAACAGGACCTCTTCAACGCCTCGCCCGCCAGTGAACTCGCAGAGGGACTGCATTTGATGGCTATAAGGGACAGGACGTGGCAAATACAGCCCTGTTCTGCCATTTCGGCCGAAGGACTTAAGGTGTGACTAACGAACCCCCAAATGAATGTAATCATACTTTACTCCATATACCCAACAGGAGGGCCTGGAGTGGGCGTGTAAGAACATTAAGACCATTACTAAATAAATACACGCACTTTGGCGCCAATCAATCCACTAAATGTTAACACAAACTCAAACACATATTTAATTACTATTTAATTAATAACAATAAATTTACTAATTATAATGACTCGTTAGTTATAATCTTAATAATGGCTAACAGTAAGTATATATTAGTGCTTCAATCAGACCATACTAGCGATCACTGCGTGAGTGAAATCAGTATTAGAGGCATAACCGCCCAAATCTCTTGTCCGCACTTTTCCGGATGCGATTACTTTTTCGAGAGCGGCCTGTATTTGATTGGCGTATTCGTGGAGATTCACATGTCTTAGCATTTTCACCGAACACAACAACATAGCCGTCGGGTTCGCTATATTCTTGCCGACCGCCTCACCAAACGTATGACGAGCTCCCGGTTCGTAGAGAACACAGTCCTCACTATAGCTCGCGCCGGGAACCATACCCGCGCCGCCCACTAGACCTGACGCCAAATTGTCAATTATATTCCCGTAGAGGTTAGGCATTACCTGTAAATATATGTAAACCAATATATCAAATATTGTGTAACAGAATAGAGTGCATAGTATATGACAAACCATAACATCGAAGCGGTTTGGATGTGAGACCAATTGCATGCATGTGTTGTCGATAATCATTTGCTCGAATTCAATGTTTGGATACATTTGGGAGATGTCTTTGCATGTGTTGAGGAAGAGTCCATCGCCTAATTTCATGATATTTGCCTTATGAACGACCGTTACTTTCTTCCGGTTATGTTTAGTCGCGTAATCGAAAGCGAATTTTGCGATTCGTTTCGACTTCTCTTCGGTTACGATTTTAAGACATTCAATAACTCCGGGAACCGACTCGTGTTCGAGAGCACTGTATTCACCTTCAGTTTGTTCCCGAATCACAAAGAAATCCAAATTCTCGTAACGGGACTTAATTCCCGGGAAACTCTTGATGTGAACCACATTTGCAAACAAATCCAATTGTCTCCTAATCTTCATATTCAGAGACTGCAGTTCTCCGGCAGTGGAACTGAAAGGTGTCGACAAAATACCCTTCAATGCGATACCATTGCGCTGTAATGAGTCGATCACCGCATCCACGGTTACAGACAGTGACGGATAGATCTCACTATAAGATCACCAAATTTGCACTCAAACTATAGCATCGATTACTGGACACAAACCTTAGGAACAGCTCTTCAAACTCGATGGGGACACCAATGGCACCGAACACCTCTTTAACCGAAGCCATCAGTTCTGGTCCGACGCCATCGCCGGGAATCAAAGTACACTTCAATTTGGATTCGTCTTGAGATAGCGGTTCCGACGCCTGTTGTGACAAATGGCGTGCGATTTGTGGGGCCGACCGCTGGCCACACACTAACGCCCGACCGCTATATGTCTGAAACAATCAACAATTCAGTCAATCAATCCGTTGGACAACAAATCACTCACTCTTTTGATGACATTTCTGGACATCAAAGACATCAATGTTTTGCCAAAACATAACGACATTTCGCGACAATTATTGTCTATTTATTTGGCCGACAATTAGTTAACAATTATAACAACAAAACTATAACTAAAAGTGATTACAATTTAATACTAATTAACAATTAAAAGACAAACAATTGGTTTGTATTGACTCTAACTGTAAATTGAATCCAATTATAGAATGCATTCATAAATATCGTTATTATTTCACTCATTATTTGAGCCCTTATTCTGTTTGACATACTTTTGATGCCAATTGACAATTACCCTAAAAACCCACAGATACGCCGCGGCTTATCTGATGAAAAAAGTGCATTTTATGAAAAAATTAGAAAATCGGCTTATCTGTGGGTTCGGCTTATTTATGGGAATATTTATTAATAAAATATGTTAATTAAAAACAATTTTTAATTTAAATAATCATAATTATTATAATTGATTAATTACAAAATAATGGTATGCATTTATTCAAAACCATCAAAGCTGTCAATTCTATGATTATTTTACTTAAAACATAAGTTATAAATTTCGATTCTACAAACTAATAATATACTAATGATAAATAAGATATTGTAATTAGTATTTAAATAAATTATTTATGTAGTAAATAATAGTTATTTATGCAATATAAGTGTCGCTAATATAGAATGATTGAAAATTTAGCCTAAATATTCAGTGAAATCCCTAAACGTTCCTTAAATTTATAATTAAATTTAGCCCTAAACGTTCCCAAAATTTCACTTCAAACATTTTTAATTATATCACATTTAAAATCACAATTACAACAAACACTAAATTAGATTACTAGTCAATAATTAATAAGACTTAAAAACGTAAACCAGTCAGATTAAACTGCAAGATTTTCAAACAGAGCTCAAAATTCAGCATAACTAACGACTTTGAATTTCTAAACAATTGGATACTTTTAGCCATTATAAATTAGAGGACTAGATAATGACTAATAGGACTCAAAAAGTAAACCAGTGTTTATCAAAAATTACATTCAAAAACTAACATTATATTAAATTCGGCTTATACATAGGTACCGGCTAATCTGTGGGAACATTTTATTTTTAAAATTTTATCATCCGGCTTATACGTGGGTGGGCTTATCTGTGGGTTTTTAGGGTAGATTACAATTGTTAGTCATTTAATAAATTCAGTCATTAATTGCATTAAATAACACTATTTTCATAATAATTATAATATATAATGCATTAAAAAGAGTTATCAATTAATAAAATAAACCACAATTTAATAGCAATTATGAATAACTTTTTATTTGTTTTAAAGGCTTTTTCAATTAAATAATAATCGTTTCATACATTTTTGATAACATTTTGTTTAAATAAACCTAAAGTTATAACAAATCTATTGAAATACATGTTTAAAAATTTTGTAATATTTATATGAAAATTCTGTGTTGAATGACTAGTAATGAAAAAATCAAATTTAATGTGTGCTATGAATGACTTTAAATGTCCACATAATTGGGACATACGTTCGGGTAATTAAATACAAGAGTAAAATATGTTTCGATAAAAATCAAGTGTTGATGAATTGTTAAAATTGAAGTCATAATACTTTCAGTACTTTTAGTTTGATTTCAATGTCTAATGAATGGCAAATCACGACCAATACGTGCGAATCACATCTCGAATGACGGCTCGACATATAGGGCACTGTCCCGGTCCTCGCCATTGCTTGACCGCACATTCGTAACACATACACACGTGTCCGCACATGTATAGTACGCTATTAATGGGCTGTTCGTAGCAAACATTGCACTCATTTCCGATTGCATTCAACGGCTCTATAGAAACAAACAATTTAGTCAAATATAAATTAAACATCAATTGAATATAAAACATACCGGAGTTACTGTTGGCAGTGTTGTTCAGTTTGGGAGAACTCGACGAGTTTGGGGTCAGTCTTACAGTCAAACCATTATTTTGTGTAGTAATGGGACGAGACGTTTGTTGGCTATTCCGGGAGTTCATCACTTGTGCAGAATTGCGAACATTTTCAGGCGTTTCGTTATCAGAAGTGCCTAACAATACAAAACATGCCATTAGTTTAATGCCTTTAAATTAATTATATATGTGTTTCACAGATATACAGAAGTAAACAATAATTACCTAAAACTTTCACTTTAATAGTACTGCCGTAGAGATCAAAGAAAGGCCACATTCGTTGAGTGGAGTCGACGTGCATTAAAGTCTGGACGGGTTGACGATTCTTAGTCATCTGGACTTCACCGCTCTCTGTCATCTTAAAGGCCAGTTCATCGCCGGCTTGCGGTGCGTTCGCCACGTCTTTAATTACAACCCAATACTCAGATCTATCCAACAGTTGGTGCGGATCTTCGGGCAAATCATTGCTATTAATAGTCGACGGATCGCAAGTCGTGAGTCCAAAAGCAAGGCTTCCGGCATATAATTCATCGGTTTGTAAAACTTGGAGCACAAGCTTTTGACCCAAACGTAAGGGACGCTCTGCGAAGACATATCCCTGACAATAGTGGCTATTGTTTCGCTCAGCAATACATCTGTTGTTTAAGAAAAGCATTTGTTAGATATTTTTAAATAAAATAGAAATCAATTTGTGTCTCACCTGTCATTTGAAAGGCGAATATTACAGCCCTTCGTCTTATTGAATGGTAAGGACTGAAAGTTCGCATCCCTATAGACTTGCGGCAGTGGTTCTCTATTTTCTCGGTTGATGTCAATCGTGGAAAGACTTGGAATAATGTTCTCCACTTCAGAGCTATTGCGGCGACAGTTGACGACCTGTTGTCGCGGATCAACGGATTCGATGCCAACAGTATTGCCGTAAATGTCAATCAGTGCCCAAAGCGGACAATTAGTGGAGACACCGCTGAAGAAGACGCCGCGATCCTCACCGTTGATGCCGTAGTGAACGTCTCCCGTCTCACTAACGTAAAAGAAGAGCACGTAATCTCTCACCGCAAACCTCTCGCCCAAAGCTTTGGCCCAATTTCCGGGTTTATTCGTGAGGTCAGGACAGGCGTACTTCGGGAGCGATGAACGACAATAGTTGATGGGATCGTTGGAAGTGAACCCGAAACGGATGGCTCCGCTCCAACTCTGAGAGATGTCCGTGAATTTGATGCAAACCTTTTCGTTCACACGAATGGCGCGATTACTGAAACAAATGCCTTTACAGAAGCTGTCGTTCCGTTGAGCGACCGTCGAGTCGGCCGACAGCCGCACATTCTCTCCGTGTATTGAATGAAATAAAATCGGCGGCAAATTATTGGTCCCGGAGTTCGCCGGACGACGAAGTTTTGGAGAACACGCTATAAATGGGCAAAAAGTTTAATTAGATTTTTATTATAATTTACTCTATTATTTGTACCCATTATTGAAAGCATTGATATAGTGTTTAGTCTTAAATAATTGAATAAAAATCAGAAATAATAAAATAAGAAATCAATAATATATGAAACGAAGTAAACGTTAAAGCATTGAATTTAAGCATCAAATGGCAAATATTAAGGTGAGATCGACTCTCATATTGTGAGACAAAACACGAGATGATTGGAAATATTCACAATCTCTATAAGCTGCGCAAAAATGTGGTCAAATATTGATCATTAAAGTTAACATACGATAACATAATCTCAATTAAAATCTCATTTCCATATAGAGATTGTATTAAAGTGAGAATATTGGAGTTGACTTTCTCTTTGTCTCCGAGTTTGTGATTAAGATCTCATTTCAATCATTTCAACAATACTTTCTATAAAAACTACTAAAAATTATTCATATTTTGTCCAATCATTACAAATATTTTGAATTTCAACAACTCTTACATTAAGTGTTGAAATTATAAAAATTGACTGAACTATACATTTAGTGCCTAAAGCTATGGAAAAGCTTTAACTCAAGTTTACTGTAAAAAAAATGTGAAGAAATAGTGAAAATATTTGAATAAAATTGATGCCTAATATATTGCCAGTCATTTACATTCATATATTGTTAATGTGTGTAATATTAAAGTTAAGCCAATTTCCGAGCAATTATTTAAGTTTTCAAAACTTAACTAAAAATACTCAAAAACGAGTGACAGTTATATAACTGAAAACAAACTAAAATTAGTTTAGGTTTGGGTCGAGTCGAGGGTTCGCTCCTTCTGTGGGACGACAGGAAACTATTAAATATGCGGAGAGAGAGAGAGAGAGAGAGATGAAGTACTAAATACTGGGAAGTATCCGTACATAACAAGAAAATAAGTTATTTATTGTAACTTATTATAAATTTATATAAAAGAATAATTATTGATTAATTCTCGTAAGATTGCCGACAATTATTGAATTGAGAACAAAATATTTCATATATGAATATTTCACACAATAAAATCAATTTTCAGGTAGAGTTCAGAATATTAGCGGATATGTTATATAACAACGAATAGATTTATATTCAATACATTAATAATAAGACACAAAACTAGATAACAGAAAGCAAATGAAGTGAATTCATACCCATTCTCCTAATCTTTTTCAAGATTTTCATGATTTTAATTTGATTTTAAACCAAAAGTATCACAAAAAAAGTTTCACAAGAAGTAGATTGTCTGTTGACTTAGTGCACAATATTTTGGTGGGTTTCAAGTGAAGAACTGATGGCCTTCAGTGCTGGAGAGCAGTGATGGTGTGATAGTGTCTACAAATTGTGTGCACCCAAGCAATAGAGCACTGGTATTGAAGACTGTTATAAGCAAACGGAAGTCACACACCCCTCACCGTATATTTAGTTATTCAGTTGTTTAGCAAACGCTACACACAATTCAATTGAATATATTGGGGAACGGGAGGGACGGATCAGATGGTTAAAAAGGACCGGAAGCTCGTCAATAAGGATGCCGAGGGAGTCGTCCACATCCTCGGTGTTGTTCGCGACTCACATGAAATGATTCCTCTGTTTCTATGAGAAGTTCTCCAAATGGCATGAATTCAAATGAGATCACACTTTCAGACTCAACACAAAACAACAAGTATATCAACGACGAAAAAATATGACAATTAATGCAATTGTTTGGACACGAGATTCAATAATAAGCAAAAGAATAACTTTGTCTCAAAAAACAATAGCTGTGTTCCGGAAACTATACGACAATAGTTATTAAGTTTGTGTTAATCAATAGAAGTATTAAATATTAAACTTATAGAAAAGTTTACGAAATATTCTTGCGATCAATAGTGAGAGCAAATGTGTAACGAGTCGACCAAATATAGCGACTTTCCTCTAACACTGTTTCTCAACAAATGATAGAACAGACTCTTATGTACTGTAAATACAGTGAATGAGAATCGGAGTCGACGAGTATAGGCCCACACCTGCGATGGGCTGTCCTTCCCATACAAACGGCAAACAATTCTCGATATTATTATTGAGCAGTCATTGGAAGCAAACTTTTAGCTAAATATATGCAAAATTCGCATTTAAATATACAAAGAATATATCGATAAAAACAATAATAATCCAAACAATATCACACATATATGTCTCAATCATAAATTATGATAAATTAGTTTTCTTTAGTTAAATAGTGTATAATTTTATATATATTGTGTGGGCACCAGAAATGATGAGTTTGGAACAAATAAAAATAATATAAAATGTTAGAACTTATAAACTATAAACAAGTTTAATCCAACAAAAATATATTTGCAATTCCTTATGTATTTCAGTGGCAAACCATAGAAACCAAATGTGAAACAATATTTTGTACGATTTGTCGGTTGTTTTGCTTTGAAAGCTATAATAGTTTAATAGGAGAGCAGATGAAGTAAATGATGGACATCTGCATCGGTGTAGTGATAGGACGGGTGCATGTGTTGGGCAAAGCATTGTTAGTTATAGTAAGTGGAGTAATGGTTAGCTATAATCCAATTCATAGAACATCTGTTCCTTTCCCTCCCTTTGGTTCCCTTCTCTTAAGAATATAGTGAATAGAGCCAGACGTCAGACGCGTGTCGTCCACGCGATTCAAACCATTAATACCTGAAAACTTAGGCACAAAAGCTGTCGTAAAGGGACAGACATCTGATGCTTTGTCTGAAGCGTGCCTTAAGAGGGCCAACACGTGCCACACGTCCACTCCAGACACCATTTGGCATCAAATCTACTATACTTTGCAAATACTGATACAAACATACATTGGATACTAATATGAGTTGAACTTCAACTTTAACTCTCCCCACATCTCCTCATCCGGACATGTATTTCCTGCCAACCATTTGACACAATATAATGAATAATAACTCTAAACACATCTAAGAATAACTCACATCCTATACATCCGATACATTACTGTATACACCCTTTGCATTATAATTGCAGGACTTGTGCCGCAAATACGGCATAAACTCTTTGGGTATACGAGCCTAACATCTAAGACATCAAACGATACTTACTTTTTATGGTTCTTTAACTGAGACACACGACCCCTGAGACACAACTTAGGACATACGGAAGAGAGAGAGAGAGAGAGAGAGAGAGAGTCACGGAACAAATGTGTTATAGTTGGGACGGAGATAATGACCATAAGTGAAAAACATGTGCATTTGAAACAATTTATTCGTTCATTTCTCTGCATTCATACAATATATTTGGTTTTGAAACAAATTAAGCCGATTGTAGGGAAAGACCACAATTGCCAACACATCTCATAAATGATTGCCTAATACTTGAATTGAGATCACAATTGCCCACAACTGGTCATAACCAATATTAATAGTCCAAAGTTATTGGCCATTGTTTGTCGGCCAATAAGAAAGGATGAGTCAATTGTTTGCTTACCACGTATTTAAACATTCAAATTATATAACAATCAACATTACAAGTATATAAAGTTTATATTATAAACACACCAAACAATTAAAACAATAATTGAAATATACTGTATGTCAACACTTTATTAAGTGATGCAGATTTGCATTCAATGTATGATTCAAGTGATCAATGGATGTCATCATCACTTCAATCATTGATTGCTATTTGCATTGAATAGCAATCAACACATATCTACACAATATATGCAAATCAATGGCATTTAAACACAATTTATAGCTAATAGACATGTAATACATAATAAGACTTACGGTTATTAGTGTTGGTGTTATGGTTGGGATGAGTGCTTAAATCGGCGCCCATTTTATCACCACTTTATGCAAACTTGTATTTAATTATCACTTTTTCTATTGGTTTTGCAATAATTATGATTTTCATTCACATGTATATAACTAATCAACTAATTAATGCATTCATACATCAAATACATGTCTATCTGTGTATATAATAATGAAAGGCATCGAAAACATGTGATTAATTATTAAATTAATATTCAATTAAATGATAACAAAGATATAATAATTGTAATAACAATACAATAATTGTATTCAATATATTCATTGAATAACACGTAAACAAACCCAGTATTGAGTCAATACTTGTATACAGTATAGCGTTGCCATCTGTCACTCACTGCAACTAATAGCTCATTGCAAACATTAATAATAGTTAAACATTGTTTTGATTTTACATTTTTAATTTAGTTTAAAGTTTTATTTATCCATTCATTGATATAGTTGTGGCCAAAAGTTTGCGAAATATAATTTGCGACAATCGGTGGACGGATATAGCGATCATTGGTTTGAATGAAACAAACGCTGTGTTTGTAATCAAATATTGATTTCCTCATCAAATGAATGGTATTTTGCGATACATTTGTAGTGAAACTTGAAATTTGAATTCAGTTTTTGTTGGCAATAATAAGATGTGGTTTTTTGTGGTCTTAAGTTACTTCGCTTTATTAGGTTTGAATGTTTAGAGTTATTATCATTGAATCACTTTATATCTGACACCGCTTTTCATATGTTTAGTGCAACTTTTTCTCATCGTTTTGTCCGTCGGTAAGCATTAATGGATGAAAATATTGAGTGATTATATAATTGTGTCATATTGTATGTGATTAGCGGCCGGACTCTACTATTTGGCTGAATTGGTGGAAGAGTTTAGTGTAATATCGGCTAAAGTAATCAAATCAACTATTTTGGTATTCATATGACATTTGATTGTTTTGTTGGCAATGATTTTGACACTACTTTTATCTCGATTACAGTTAACGCTATTTATATATTTATGTTTATTCCTATTCGAAGAATTGCCCAATTCTTTGATTATCACCGGAATTGTCAGTCATTGCACTCATCTATTGATTATGAGATCATTTCCTTATTTTGATTTGACGTCAATTCCTTTCATCTCATCCATCAGTAAATTATTAATCCATTGCTTTATATAAATAATGTTTTAATTGTTTGTATTAATTATACAGTCCTTCTGCTGGTCAACCATTACTTCGCCTTTTCGTACTTCTCTTCCGTTTACTATCCATTCACTCAAGTATTGAAAGCATTTTTACTTATAATATGATTACCGGTGTTTTACACATATTGTCTTATGATTAGGTGTTAGCCTTCTTTACCATCTGTTTATGGCTCATCCCATTTGTGAGTTACCATTCAATCATTGATTTATATATTCATTCATTTTAATTGTATTCTTAAGGCATTTTTCATATCATTATCGGCTAATGAGAACGTATTGCCCACTATTGCAGAGACGAGACCATTGCTTTCAGGTCTCCTCGATCTCTATATAACTTTGATTGTGATTATAATTGAATCCATTAATGCATTTCAGATGAAAATGATGTCGTTTCACATTATTTCTCTCGAAGAGGCAAAAGATATGGTTTGCTATCGTTTTTTAATTACGCAAAGGATAGCCTTTTGCCACAAAGAGTCAAAAAGTCTTTTTAGTAAATGTGTAAATATATAGACAATTAATTAATAATTATATTAATTTTACAATAAATTGTTTTAAATTTGTATATTTTATAATTATTAAACTGAATACTCTTGTCATCGGGCAATGGATTGTTTGAGAATTTTTAATATTTTAAATTAAAATAAACATTTAAATTAAAATTATTGTGTTGTTTGTATAGTATTTATCTTTTATCATTATTTTTCTACAGTAAGTCATTAATTGTTTTTGCAATTATCGATTAAGTTGGAAATTTTTTAGTACTGTATTCACATATTAATTATATATTTGATGATAATAACTACATAATATCTAGAAAATGATACAAGTTAACTTAATGTTTTATTTGTGACATTCAATTGAAACATTATTCATTGAGCTTTAAAACGGTATCATTGAATAGTTGTCTATTTATTAAGGATTCTGGAAGAAGGCCTAATTAGAGTGACCATAAGAGTGCGACACAACTACTATGTTATACAATGGGAAGTCACATATTAAACAAATTATGCAAACAACGATTGCAACAAAGCTACGAGTTTTAATGTTTATTTAGTCTCTTTAAGACAATGTATTACAGAATATGTTTTAATTATAGTCACAGGGACTCAATTACAATGATTGTAGTGTTTTTATATGAGTTTAGATTTTATTTTTAATACTTTTTTATACATTATGGACATTATAATATAAAATTCATATTGTGAATTTTAATCAAGAAAACTATTTTTGGCCATTGAAAATAATGTTAAAACTAATGTATGAAATTAAACTTAAGCATTGAAAATTGTATTTCAAACATTTATTTTTGTGATTTTTATATCAAATACTATGAATGAGTTTTAACATTATTTTCAATGGCTAAGAATAGTTATCATGATTAAAAGTCATTATATTTTAGAGTGTTCCTATTAGGAACTTTCTAAGTTTAAATTCTTTGGCATTTCTCAAATTTTAGTTCATAGAAACACATCAAATCTATAACATTAGTCCATTTATAATAGGAATATAGGACTGTTATTATCTTTAGGAATATAAAATACAAATACTTGTATATTATTAAAATATTTGCATTTTATATTTGTAACTTATTAGAAGAATATTTATATTCTAAAGTAGAATTTCTATTGTAATTTCAATATTGGTTAAATTACTTGATTAGTTAGTGCCTTCAATTTAAATAATGTAAGCATTTTGGTAATATTAAATAGTAATGTTATAATAAATACACATTTATTCTTGTTAAATTCGTATGAATATTATTGAAATTATATAGATATGAACATGGTCATATTAAAGTTGTAACATTAATTATTCCTACACATGACAGCTAAACGTAACGTAAGGATGTATTGAATGGGTTTGGAAATGTGTGAAATGATGGGTGACTTCCTCTCAAACAAGTTTTTCTCCTTAAAGACACCACTTGTGGGCAAAGCAATGGTCTGTCAGTTGAGACCTTCTTTCCATTCAATACTCAGTTTTGTTTTGATTTTCAAAACAAATCCAATTTATTTCTCGATTTTATTTATCTTCAGTGAATTTGTTGTCACATAAAGTGGACAATAATATAATGAATGGCACTATTAAGTGGAAGAATACTAAAGTTATTATCACTGATCGGTTCCATTGTGTCGGGAATGCTATTTGCATTCGTTTGGCTTAATTATGAACAAACAGTGATTGAAGTGCAGAGTCTTCATAATCACATTTATGGTCACTTAATGGACACACATTACGACCAATGGGTGGGACAGAAGTGCATCAAAAGACAAGACGTGTCGCAAGAGATTAAAAGTTTTGAATCCAAATCCGATGTAATGTTTGAATCGGAATATCTATTCAAAAGAGTTGGAGTGCTTTGTCTGGTGTTAAGCAAAAGCCGAAAGTCATCGCAAGCGGTGCGCCTGACGTGGGCTAACCATTGCAATCACGTTATATTCTTCGGACCCTTTTCTGACCGCAAAATACCAGTCATTAAATACCCGCCGGCGAGCACTCATGTATCGTTTTGTCACTCATTTATCACTGCAATGAATCAATTTTCCGGTCAATTTGATTGGCTTTTCATAGCCTATGACGAAACGTATGCCATAATCGAGAATCTCCGCCATTATGTCGCGCCTCTCAACGCCTCCTCTCTCTACTACTTGGGAAGAGCTGTCAAACACTACTTCTCGGGCGTCTATAACGCGGCCGACTCTGGCATAGTGTTGAGCAGAGGCGCCGTCGAGCGCATCGCTAAAGCATTTAGTAATGAAACGGTTTGTGACTTAAACTTTATTGAAGGCATCGGAAGTGTTTCTCGCAATTTCGAGATATCTCTGGCTCTCATATTAGGCCGCTTTGGCTGCACTCCTGTCGATACACGCGATTTGCGCAGAAGAGGGCGTTTCCATGCGTTCCCACCCGAGCGTCAATTAGTGCCGGGAATGATATCGATGTTCAACAGCTACTGGAGAAATGGTGTCTTTTTATCATCTAATGACGAACATTGTTGTAGTGATAAAAGCATTACTTTCAACGGTGTTCTTCCAGCGGCCATGTATTTGACTGAATACTTACTCTATCACATGTCTATATTCAGTACCCATAATAACCCCCTCGGACTCGGCAATAAACCCCCGCCTTATAGCTCTTATAAAGTGAACTCTGATTTTGACGATAAAAACATATTTAAAGATTTTGATTCAATAGAAATGGGAACTCCACTCATCCATACCATCGGCAAAAGCAGTCATAAAAACAGTAAACATAAAAAATCTAAAAAAGTTAACTCATTTTCTAATTTTTTTAATGAAATATTTGGAAATTAAATATTTTTTTAAATATAGCATGTAACTGTAATATACGTACATTTTTGCATAAATATATTTCATTGTTTAAATATTGTTGCCTGATTATATTAATAAAATACCATGTCACTTTATAATATTGTTGTTTATTAGTTTAAAATGAAAGTGTTACAATAATATTGTTTGTATTTTAAAATTTGTACTATCTTATATGACAGTGACTACTGTATAACCAAGAATTTGTAAACAATTAATAATTAATCTATTTTCAGTAAATTAATTAAAAATAATATAATTATACTTGAGATGAAACGGCACTAATAATATCCCGGCAATGGATTACACCTTCACTTTCTGGACCCAAATTAATGCCAAATAGAGGAGCGGTTCCGTAAAATTTTCTCATTTCTTCTCTGGACAAGCGGTACCTAAATATTGAATTTTAAACATTAAATGAAATACAAATACCGGTATAAAGTATTTTGCATTGATCTTAAAAACTAATCATGCTTTATAAGTTGCATATTCTAATGTAAAAAATGGTGTAAATTACATGTATGTTTTATTTGCTAAAAATTTATCATGTAAAAAAATAAAAAGTGATGATTACGTTCTTAGAGTGGAAAGAGGTTCGGCTGCCATCTTAACTCCAGTGTCGGGATTGATTGTAGTGAAGACACATCTGTCACACGCTTTCAAGAATGTGAACTCAATATCTCTAATCTTAGCGTATTTCCAATAGTCTTCAGCGAAAGCATCGCAACCAGTAATCAATATATTAGGCCTAAAGTTTCTATAACTGACTTTTGTTTCATTTGGAAGTTTTGCATTTAAATCGTTGATTGAATTTTGATTAATAACTAGAACTGCCGATCCGTCGTGAAAAGCAATCTAATTTGATAAATGGTATCATATTTTCAACACTAATACAGTATATCTACAGTAATAACAAACCGGATATTGTTTTAATTCAATCACTCGGTCGTTGCGTTCGGCAGAACTCGGTCTCATTTTATTGTTGGCCATGTGTTGAATGAGTTTAATCCCTGATTTTTGTAAATATTTTGAAAACCAATCTTCAGCTTCTTTTCCACAATAGACTCCTTCTGTCGTTTGTCCCCAAACTCTTTAAATCAAATAAAACTGTTGTAATATTTTCAAACTTCATTTAGCAATTTAATATAAAACTTAATTAAAACACAATAACTATGTATCACATGCGAATAATTGTTAAACTGAAAGCAAACTGCTATAATATTTATACAAGGTATAACTGAATGATTTAGTAAACATGTTTAATACTTTGTTGGTATGAGTATATCGTTAACTGATTTGTGTGTTTTAAGTATAATCTTAAGAGTTGGCATATTTGGCCCATCGATCCAAATCTCATTCTCGTGAATACTTTGCCTCAAAAGAGCCAACGATTCTTCAGTCCTTTGAGTTACAAAGCGATTCTCGTCGTTGATTAACAGCCACATCCTTAAGGTATGTAACATACCGTACAGTTGTATAAGTTATCACTTAAAATCATATTAAATGCATGTATCAAACAATTCAAACCTATCCCTAAATTTTCCGGATTGGAGTCCAAATTTGGTGATAATTGCTTCGTCCACTTCAATGCCCGGAAGAGATTTAACCGGATATACAATTAGTTTAATAATTTTAGCCGCCTTTACATAATTCCGTCTTCTTTTTCGTTTCACGACATAAAGCAAAGCACCGCTTATGACACAAACCATTAGTCCCGACAATAGTACAGTATTGGATGCTTTTATTGCAAACATTATTAAAATTTTAACTAATTTGACAAATAATTTGAATATGTATTTAAACCGAGTGTTTCTTATTGATAGGGATTAAATATACAACAATATTAAATTGATTTTGAAACATTATATCTTATTATTCAAATAAAAACTCTCTTTTATGTGAAAAATAAAGTTAATGCATGATATGAGATAAATGTTGGTTAAAAAAACAAAATGGTTTTTTATTGGTTTGCATTAAACTATAATAAAAGTTGTATTCGTTTTTTAAATTGAGATTCTTTTGATGATAAGTATTAGAGAGGAAACAGATGTGTCTATAACTTGATTGACAACTGAACACATAGAGAGGTGAGAGGAATACTCTTTGTCTGACATTCAATTTTGTTACAAAATGTATTATTATTAGGGCCAACAGAAAAGAGTAAAAAAGGTCAATAAGTATAATTTACTGTAGGTATAAATGGAGAATAGATCTCATGAACACATATTCCATGACATTTTGACCATAAGATTGCATTCACATTAAGAATTTATCTGTATTTTTAAAACTTATAAAACATTTTAAGCATTTAATAACGATATGAGAATTTCAAAGTAGCGTTTACTGTATAATCATTAATAATATTGTTAGAGAGAGAGAGAGAGAGAGAGAGAGAGAGAGAGAGAGAGAGAGAGAGANAGAGAGAGAGAGAGAGAGAGAGAGAGAGAGAGAGAGAGAGAGAATGAAATTAATTAGACGTGATTATGCCATATTATTTGTATTTCTATATTGTAAAAATAAGAATTATTAAGAAACAATTGTCTGGGAATTCAATTTTAATTGATAATAAATTTTAATTACATAAATTCAAAAATATATATAATTTTCTGAATATTTTTAAAGCTATTAATGTTATCTCTAATACTGTATTTGACAAATATTACAGCAATAATCAGAAAACAGATAAATATTAATTGGCAATTAAAGCATTATATATCTTATTGCTGTTAGAATTATGCCCATCGTCATTTTATGATATTCCTTATTCCCATTCTTCTATATTATTCAATACCGGTAATAATGTTTATATAATAAATAATCATATTAAATAAATTTTATGCAGAAATAACATATTCTGGTAAACAAAACACTTCTGGTTTATAATATCTTATGCTCTAATAACAGTATACTGTATGTAAAATAACCGAGATAACTAGGGTGACCAAACGTCCTCCCCTAGGGGGACAGGTCTCCCTTTGACCATTTTTGGCACCAGACCTTTGGGAGGACTATACAATGACAGTTTTAACAACAAAGAAGTTTAATTTAATTTTGAATTTATTTGTAAAATAATTGAATATTTACTTTCAATAGATTTTTAGGCTGTTCATTTTAAAAAAGAATTCCTATTTTATGCTTATAAGTGATTTTTAAATAATTTAAATTTTATATTCATATTTTTAATAAAAACTGAACTAAAGAACTAAAATTTACAACATTTTAGTGAATAACATACATATTTTTATATATTTTGTTTGATAAGATATACTGCATATCCAAATCTAACTTAAATATCTATGCAATTCAAATAGTAAGAAGCATTTTGGGCCTATTTGTTTACAAATTTACAATTTATTTGTCATATTTTATCGATTAGCATATATTTTAATATATTATTGAGAAAATCAGTAAAATAAGCAAAATTTATATGATTTTGTAAAGAATTAAAAAAAACTATTGACTCAAAAATGATATTGCTAGAGAACATTGTTTTATGTGATGCCACTTATATTAGTTACAATTTGTAACTTACAAATAGTGTTAACAGTTATTTGGTTAAACCAATAAAACCAAATAAAACACACGAAATTTAAAAATAATAAAATTTGGTTTTATTAATAAAACCAAATAAAACCAAATTTTTGTTGTTATTAATGTGTATAATTTGACCAAATATCACATGTTTTGTAAATGTTTTTAAATTGTTTTATAATTTGTGCATAGTCTCGGTAAATAACATGCCAAAAAGAAAAACACTTCGAATAAATGGATTAAAAGTTAAAATTACTGATTTAATTAGAAATGAGAGCGCATAAAGGGTTTTATGCTTTATTAACTGATCTGGAATAAAACCAAATTTTTCAAAAATTACTGATGAAACAACAAATACAAAACCTGAGTCACTTAAATGCGAACGCTATATAAATTGTAATAACTTTAACCATGATTAACTTATTTGGTTAATCTATATACCATTTGATAGCTTATTTATGTATGTTTAAAGTCTTGTATTAAAATTTTTTAATTTTAACCACAACTGGATTTAACCGCCGATTCTCTTAGACGACTGGCTAAACATGGTTTCCACTCTATGTTAAAGTATAGCAATGTTTATAAATTCATATTTGATTATAATGGGTCATTATAAATATAATTAAGTTATAATCTGATTATAACAGTTTGATTTTAACTATTATGCGTTAGATTTTAAATTCTAAAATTATAAATAATCAACAAAATTAATATTTTAGGAAAAGGAAAATTGTATGAACATTTTTGGATTTTTTAATGATAAAGTATTACTTTGCAAAACTAGCCATGTATTTTATTTAAAATGCTATAACACAATATATCTAGCTTAAATTAGTGTTAATATAATCAGATTATAACTTAATTATATTTATAATGACCCATTATAATCAAATATAAATTTATAAGCATTGCTATACTTTAACATAGAGTGGAAACCATGTTTAGCCAGTCGTCTAAGAGAATCGGCGGTTAAATCCAGTTGTGGTTTAAATTAAAAAATTTTAATACAAGACTTTAAACATACATAAATAAGCTATCAAATGGTATATAGATTAATCAAATAGGTTAACCATGGTTAAAGTTATTACAGTTTTAAAACGTTCGCGTTTATGTGACTCAGGTTTTGTAACACCAAATTTTTCTTATAAATAATAAAACCAAATAAACACACGAAATTTAAGAAAATAATAAAACCAAATTTCTGTGAACACTAGTTACAAATTAAATTGTTAAATGCTTACAACTAAACTTGATCATTTAGGACCTAAATTTTAGGTCCTGGATGTGTTAGATTCTACGATTCTGTTTACAATATAACACATCGATAAGTGTTTGTCAATTAGAAATGAACATTTCAAATAAAATATGCAAAAATATATTAAAAGTAAACATATATTAATATGTGATATAAAGTGAAAGCAATTGATTTGTAAAACTGGATTAAATTCTGTGATTTCTATGTTTGCAAAATAACATTCATTCAAAATTTGAATTTCAAATGTAATATTCCTTAAAAGGGATCGTATTATGAGTTCGTAAAGTTCTAATGCATTGAAAACATTGCAAATGTAATGATATTGTGTTTTACACCTGTTTTTAATAACCTTTAATTTTGAGTGAATTATTAAATATTGTATTAAAAGATGGTTTTAAATGAAGAAGTATTGGATTTATGGATATTATATGGAAGTGAAACCGGAAATAGTGAAGAGTTGGCCAAACGGTTGGGCCGTCAGGCCATCCAACTGTCCCTAAGAGCACGAGTGATGGCTTGCGATGAATGCTCTGTCTCTCAACTCATTGACCAGAAGATTGTTTTGATGGTCTGTTCCACGACTGGTATCGGCGAAGAACCCAATAATATGAAGACTTTCTGGAACTTTCTTCGGCGTCGAGATCTGCCGCACGACTCGTTGTCATCGGTTTACGTCTCAGTCATAGGTTTAGGCGACTCTTCGTATGAAAAATACAATTTTGTGGCAAAAAAACTTCACAAAAGAGTCTTAAGTTTGGGCTCAAAGCCGTTAACTGATCTCGTCTTAGGAGATGATCAACACGATTGCGGACCAAACGCTACCATTGATCCATGGCTTCCAACTTTCTGGAGTAGAGTCTGCGAAGTACTACATATTGAAGATAATTCATCCCAAATCCAAGACTCGGATCAAATGTTTAGTTCCAGTTTTAAAGTACATTTTGTTGACCAAAACAATCAACAAATGGACACAACTATTGTTGGAAGTGATAAAAGTGATGATCACTTTCATAAACACAATCCATATTTTGCTAAAGTTTTATCCAATGAGAGGATCACATCCGAAGATCACTTCCAAGACGTGCGGCTAATAAAACTTGGTATAAATGACTCCAATTTAATCTATGGTTTGGGAGATGTCTGTTGTGTTAAACCACAGAACAGTGAAGAAAATATTAACAAATTTCTAACTCTTTTGGATTTAAATAAAGACTTGTATTTCACGGTCGAGAAGAATGAACACAATTGGATGAGTCTGTCTTCTTATTATAGTAATCTTCCGAAACCGTGTTCTGTCTTAACGCTAATCACCGAATATATGGACATTCAGTCCATACCGAAGGCGTCTTTCTTTGATCTCTTCTATAGAATCAGTGAAAATGATTTGGAAAAAGAAAAACTCAAACATTTTGCTAAAAATAGTACTTCGGATGACTTATACGAGTACTGCAATCGTCCCAAAAGAAATATATTGGAAGTGCTGTCAGACTTTCCCCACACAACTAGTCGTCTAAAATTTGAACATCTGTTTGATTTGATTCCAGCCATTAATCCGAGATATTTTTCCATCGCATCGACAATGAATGTCACACCAAATGAATTGCATTTATTGGTTGCTGTCGTCCACTACAAGACCCGATTAAAAGAGCCCAGACTTGGCCTCTGTTCTAATTGGTTGGCCAAACAATTGCCCGCAAATGACAGCAAAGTTGCCATTTATGTAAAGAAGGGAACGTTTAGTTTGCCGCCCGACTCGACGCCCATCATAATGATAGGCCCGGGAACAGGTGTCGCACCCTTTAGAGCCTTCATTGGAGATCGGGCTGAAAGACAGGTCTCACACAACTATCTCTTCTTCGGATGTCGTTATCGAAACTCTGACTTCTATTTGGAGGACGAATGGAAACGTTTCAATGATTTGGCATTTTTGGACTTTTTTGTCGCCTTTTCCAGAGATAGTGACCAAAAAGTTTACGTTCAGAATATTCTTTGGCAACAAAGAGATCTCGTCTTCCAATTGATTCATCAGAAAAATGCATTCATTTTTATTTCAGGAAATGCTAAACAAATGCCGAAACAAATCAGAGAAACCATTTGTGATATATTTAAGGACCAAATGAATCAATTGAATGACAAAGAGATTCAACAAATGGTTAATAGACTAGAACTTAGAAGAAGAATACAATTTGAGTGTTGGTCTTAATGTTATCTCTAATTGAATTGTACTTTATTTGAAAAATAAATATAAATTGTGTTAAATTAGTTGTAAATCTAATGTCCATTCAATTCCACTTCGATTTCTTTTGTTGTATAAATTGTGTCTCGTCTTCATTGAGTGCGATATATGTCTTTGGATCAGATCTGGCCTTCAGATTCATGTAATATATATAACCAAAACATACAGTTAAGGCACAGACGCCGGCACTCATCACATACTTGTTCTGATGGTGTGATTCAAACGACAATCAGATTTAGTCATAATTATAGTTAGCGACAAATTTACCGGTTTTACAAACAACTCAAAATTCAAGACCCGAAACACATTGGTTGCGACCACCGGTCGCTTACCATCCACTTTGGGCTCATCTCTAAACAATAGACCATTCATTGCATTACATGTTATTACTCTTATATCATTTAAATCATGATGGTTAAGGACATTATCAATGTTATTGAATCATCATTCATTATAACTATAATGCTAAACAAGTTACTAAACTAGTCAAACTTTGTAGTAAATGCTATCATTGGCTGTAATAGTGGTAATAGTGGTAATAATGACAATAATGACCGGTTGATAGAGTGGTGTTTGTGATTGTTATCCATGAAGAAGTGGTGGATTGAGTGAGTGGTGGATGTGTTGAGTGTATGTATGGCTGGAGTGAGTGTAGTGTTTGAACGCTTGGATGTTGTGATGCATGGCGTGTGCGGACTCACGACTGGCGGTGAAGCCAACCCTACAGTCGTGTCGTTAACACTAAAGCAATGACTGAGCGCTGACTTACAGACTGTACTGTACTTTACGTTACACTCGTCTCCACTCTATGCGAGTCTTTTGCCACAAAAGTCCGCTTTTTTGGGCAAACAGTCACTCATTTGGGTTAGTGTTTAGTGTTTAGTGTTTTGTTGATTTAATCATACAATCGATGCTTGGATTGCATTCACACCCAAACACTGAGACAGACATCACTACTCATCACAACTCACTTCACTAACAATTGGCAAACAATGAATCAAAAGTGAGCCAAAAGTTAGTCAATTGCTGACACTTTGAGGCCAAGTGTTGCCCAAAAAGTGTGATTTACAGCCATTTCTCCTGCATTTCACCCAAACATCAATCTCTCCGCTAAGACATCCACTCGTAATACCGGTAACTATTGAACCAATCGATGCCTTATTGTCACCATTTGATCCACACATGACTCTATTGATGACCCATTGATTTAACACTTTATTGACAACAGAATTGACAAATGGAGACAAAAGTCAATTCAAATGACACCAAATCTAGTGATGTGTCAAACGATGCTATCGTTAAAGACATTGTCGGACACGACCTCAACGATCAGATGCTCACTCCAGAGACCAACTCTGACCAACCGGTGCTTCAGACAAACTCCACTCAATTGCCGGCCATTGACTCAAATGGCGCTACAAATAAAGTTTTGGATGAAATACATAAACCGGATAACGAAGAGTCCGTCGCAAATGGTTTTGACGATAATATGGCGAAAGAGGACAACACATCCGCTAATGTGACAGCAATTGTCGCAACAGATGTTCCCAACGGATCAGTCGTTACGCCGAAAGTGACCCGAAATAAGCGAAATAGCGTTCAATTAACAGCAATCACACCAATTGAGACACCGAAGAGTGACGACAAGCAGAGCCAACTCGACTCAGAGCACAGACTCACCCGAAGTCGATACGGAAGACTGCAAAAGGCAAAGACACCGAATCCAGAGATGATTACATACGACCTGAAGAGACGGTCTTCAGTGAAAAGCATCGACGCCTCCGAAACATCGGAGACACCCGTCAAGAGAGAGCCAAAAGGCAAAAGAGATGATAAGAAGACTACTTTGGATGAATCGACGCCTAACTTGAGAAAATCGAAACGAAGAATATCTGAATCTCCGGCGAAGAGCGGCAGAAAGAGAAGATCTAATAAAATGGATGAAACTAACGATGAAATCAAAAGCAAAGTCAACGAAACTGAAGCGAAGACTCCGACGCCGGCCTCCAAGAAAAAAGCGGTCGTCAGTCGTTCCGAATCAGTGCCTCAGAAAAAGTGCATTGAATTGACGGGAGACCCGACGTCTACTATAGTGGACCGTCACGTCCTCCTAACGATTCCCCCACAAGAGGGCGATTACTGTGTCGGTGATCTCATTTGGGCCAAAGTGTCGGGCTATCCCTGGTGGCCGTGTATGGTATCACTCGACCCCATCACCGCTCTCTATTCGAAAGTTTCCGGTAAAATCAATTGGCTTTTAAACGTAATACGAATTGAAAGTTAATTATTTGCAATCAATTTATTTAATTTAGGAATGAGTTACAAAGCCGGTCGTGTATATCACGTCCAGTACTTTGGATCTCAAGCACTCCGCGGCTGGACTTCTATCGGACAAGTGATGCCATTTGAGGGAAAGGATAAGTACTCAGAAAAGGTTGAATTGCTAAAAGAGAGTTCACCGAAAGCGCAAATTGCAAAAGTGGCGCAAAAATATGCAATAAAAGCGACCGCAAAGAAACAATGGGACCAATCGGTAGAAGAGGCCGAAGAAGCGGCCAAAATGACGAGAGAGGAAAGAGTCAGAAGTCTTACCTTTGAATACATTCTCTCCTCAAAAGTAAATTTGCGACGAAAACTGGAGAATTCTTTTGGCGAACAAAATGATTCCAAACGTAAAAAGCTTAGCAGTTCTCCCGAAGACATCTACGACTTCGATGACGACGACGCGTCCATTAATGTCTCGCAATCAACGCCTGGCCTTATGTGGAGAAAGAGAGTGCAAAAGGGAGACTTTGCCATCTATGTTGAGCGCCACTACAAGACTGTTGAGGCAGAGAATGCCGGCGCCAATCGACAGGAAGTGGAAGAAATGCTTCAAAGACGTTGGGATCTACTCGGAGAAGACTTGAGAGCGCTGTACACCGACCGCAAGTTCGCGCCAACCAATGAAAGTGAGAGCCCAGCCATCATTACTCCCAAAAGCATTGCATCAAACAAAACACAATCCGAGTCTAAACCCAAAAGAGGCAGAAAATCGAAACAACAAACGCCAGCAAAAAGTATCGTCAAAACTGGAAGCGATGGAAGTGATTGCGAAGGAAATCTGGTTATATCTGAGACTCCAGTTAAAAAATCTTCGCCTAAAAAGGCAGTGAAATCTGAGCGCAAATCCAATGGACCGTCTCTTAAGACATTAAATTCAGAGAAAAAATCCGAACCGAAAGGAACACAAAATAAAAAGACACCGAAAAAAGCGGCGATTCCGACACCAAAGTCATCGAAAGCGTCCGTCGAAAAGACTGCTCAAGTGGTGAACGGAACCAATGATAAAGCTGTTCAAAGCACTGATCCATCTCTCGTCCACTTTGGCATCGACTATATGGACGAGTTTACAAGCAGTGAAGACACGAGTTCCACATCTGAGCCAGAAGTGGTCGATGGCGTCAAGACTTGTGTCGATAAATTTTGTGTTGTTTGCAACGAGTCGGACGATTCGGATTCATTGTTGGCGTGTCAGGGAAGTTGTCTTCAGATGTATCACAAAAAATGCTCCAAATTTGAAGGAATTGACACTCAATTCAAATGCATTGAATGCCAAACAGGTTTGTCTTTGCAGTCATTTATTTCATATAATTTATAATCATTTTTTAAATTAAAATTAAATTTCAGGAAAACACAAATGTTTTGTTTGCAAAAGCGCTGATAATAAAGAGGAGAAAGAGCCCCAAAAGTGCAATGACACGAAATGTGGCAAATTTTATCACATGAGTTGCATTGAGAAGGGATTTCCCGTTAAATTGACGGAATTGAAGGACAGCTTTCTTTGTCCGTTTCACTTCTGCCTTAACTGTCATATTGAGAGTCAAAACGATAAAGAATTCCGTCCGAGTCGTCGCCGTCTAGTGAAGTGCATATTCTGTCCGACGGCTTACCATTTGGGCGACTACTGTATCGCCGCCGGAACTGTTCAGGTCTCACAAAATTACGTTATTTGTCCCGACCATCACGAGAAGAAGAAGAAAGACAAACACGTGAACGTCAACTACTGTTTCTCGTGTCTAACCGGTGTGTAATATATTTAGTGAATTTTTAATTACAAATTGTTATTAATATTGTTTCTGTGAATCTATAAAAGGGGGTCAACTTATATGCTGTGAGTCGTGTCCGGCGGCCTTTCACACCAGTTGTTTGGATTATAGCTTAGATCCCGACTCTAACTTCTATTGCACTGACTGTACGTCTCGAAAGCCTCTGCATTACGGAGACATAGTTTGGGTGAAACTTGGATTCTATCGTTGGTGGCCGGGAAAGGTGTCGCACCCAAAGCAAGTGCCCGACAATGTGATGAAACTGCCGCACGGAGTCGGAGAGTTTCCCGTCTATTTCTTTGGATCGCACGACTATTATTGGGTTCATAGGGGACGGGTGTTCCTCTTCATGGAGGGCGACAACAAAGCGGCCGTCGCTAACTGTAGCGGCAAAAAGAACAACAAATCGCTTCTCAAAACATTCAAATTAGGTCTGAATTTTATTGAAACTTATATTCAATTGTTTTGTAGATTTTAAAGTAAAATTTTGAATAAATAGCGACCGAAGAGGCGGCCGAACACTTCAAGTTATGGCAGGAGTCGAAAGGAGCCATCAGGAGAGCAATGGCTGCAAATAAGCCGCCGCCCTATACACACATAAGAGTGAGTATTCATACAAACTATTACTAAATATAAAGCAAATTATTTAAAAAATGTTTTGCATTTAGTCTAACAAAGCGGTGGGGCTTAAAGTCCAGGTCACGAATTCAGACGAATCACACATCAGTTTATGTGAATGCAAAGTGAAGAACGACGTGTCGTGTAATGACGAGAACTGTATCAACAGAGCACTGATGGTTGAATGCGATCCCAAACTGTGTACAGCAGGCGATAAGTGCAGGAATCAGAGGTTCAAAAAGAGAGAATACGCGGCCACTAAACCGTTCAAAACAGAGTCCGCCGGTTGGGGTCTCAAAGCCGATGAGGACATCAAAAAAGGACAGTTTGTTATCGAATACGTCGGGGAACTGATCGATGAGGACGAGTGCGAGCGACGACTCAAATCGATGGGAGATAACAATCAATCAAATTTCTATTTCCTAACCATCGATAAGGAGAAGATTATTGACGCCGGACCTAAAGGCAATTTGGCTCGATTTATGAACCACTCGTGTCAACCCAATTGCGAGACACAGAAGTGGATGGTGAACGGCGCCACTCGGGTCGGACTCTTTGCCGTGTGTGACATTCCCACCGGAACTGAACTCACATTTAACTATAATCTCGATTGTCGTGGGAATGGGAAAACCAAATGCATCTGCGGTTCTGCCAATTGTTCCGGATTTATAGGCGTTCGACCCAAAGCTGATGATAACAACAGAAAGGGTGCGACCAATGGTCAGACCGTCAAGAAGAAGAAGAAGAGGAATGAGAAGGGATTCAAGCGAATGCATGACGACGAGTGCTTCACGTGTGGAGAGGGCGGTGACCTCGTTATGTGTGACCGCAAAGGCTGTCCCAAGTCTTACCACTTGGAGTGCCTCAAACTGACGCAAACCCCGAAAGGCAAGTGGGAGTGTCCGCGACATTTCTGCGACACCTGCGGCAAAGCGGCCACAGCTCTGTGCGAACTCTGTCCCAACTCTCTATGCAAAGAACACGCCATTCCATCCAAACTCACAGTAAGTCCTTTTAATTGCCACTTATTTCACATGTCATTCATATTTGCAAATGTTTACAGCAATTACCCGATGGGAGACTCGTTTGTTCAGATCATCCAAACCAAGACATGGATGAACTTCTTGACAATACTGACGACATGGAGACCGCGAGGGATGAAAAGGCGGACAATGAAGAGGTTGCGGAGAACGAGTCGTCACTGGTTTTGGACATGTCTTCAAACGCCAATCCAGACACTGTTGCTAACAGTGAGAGTGAATGCCTGGAATGAGTGCATGTTTTTGTAGTAAAATATATACATTTAATTTAAAGCGTTCATTGAGTTACTGAACTCGTCATTAAGAATATAACGAATCGATTATTTTAACACAAGAATACTTTTGAATAACAATTCATAAAAATGTTACCGACTTTTGACGAAATGCATTGTTTACTAAATGTTGAAATGCTTTTCATTTATTGATTTAAATTTAAAACATAAATTATTTCTCGTTTAGTTTGGAATTATATAATATATATGAATTTTGTCAAACATTTTAACTTTTTTATACAGAAATTCAAAATGATTTAAGAGTTGCACAAAATTTCAAACTTTTTATTCATTCAAACAAAAAATCCAATGTCTTTGGAATCCATTTAATGCATTAGTTATATATATTTGGGTACAAATTATTTCGCATTATTAACTCAATAAAACATGTTTTACTTTATAAACACAATTTGAGTGTCAATTCAATCGCCGCTCAACTGTTCGTACAGTTTGGGCACATATTCATCCCATTGGGCCTATCAATTGATAATCAATTGTCAGTTAATGTCTAATCAATTGCTATGCAAATCATTATATACCTGAAAGAAGTTGGCAGATATGGGTTCTCCCAGATTGTACTTCTTGGCAAAGTTACGTATCTTAAACTGCAGTTACAAACACATCAATTAGTGATCAAATGAGTCATTTGAGTGCATACCTGTCCGCGCCCTTCACCAGATCTGTTGCTCAGTTTGGGCTCATCGGGAGTCAACTTATTCGGTTGCTTATACACTAAGAACACATATCTGTGAAGTCCAGTGCCTATCAACACAAGTATATTATTATATAATATAAGATTAGTATTGAATTAAGTGAACACACCTTTTGGTGGTCCGGCGCCGACATATTCGGACAATAAGTCTCCCTTTGCGATGTCATTCTGGGGTACGTTAACGACCAGCCAGTGATGCCATTCTCTATATTTGGGCAGTTGACGACTCGGTGCGTCCGGATCTGTCATACATACCGTGTATAATGCATTCGCTTCTGTCGGCCACTTAACCACAGTTGGGATGTCCTTCACTTGAGTCGGTGTCAACTCATTGCCCAACTGTTCAAATGGATTACATTATACAACGGGTTATTATAACAATCTGCTAAACATACACTTTCCACACATATCTATCAATGTCATGGTATAGCACTAATAGTGCAACCTTTCCGTAAGAAACCTCCCTTTAGGCAAACACCACATCATAGGTTAAAATATTTGTCACTAACAGTTCCTATGCCGGTAACGGTAATATGAGATACCTTCATAATAAACCCTTAAGGAACCCCTTCATAGTAAACAGTTGTAGTGATTCTAGTCGTTTCATTTGCTAGATTTGTAACAAAACTTTATTAAAGCAACTCTCCATTTAAGAACAACTTTTGCAGTGCAACTAACCGTTGCTTATATCATATAATATGCAAGTTGGATAGATTAACAGATAGATTGTATGCAATCTTTTTAATTAAGGGTATCCAATGTTTACAACAACTTGTCGTAAACAACACGTACTAGAGTTAAGTCTAGACTAGACTACAATATATAACAGTAAATATTGACAACTTCTACAGTACTGTAAATGTAGTGACTGTGAGACCGGCTTACAGTATGGGCTCAAAGTGTGTCCATACAAACTATATTTACTATTTAGACACAATTGTAGACAACTGTAGACACCATTGCATTCATATCTAGTGTGTAATCAAATGTAATGACAATTCATTCCTACCTTCGGCTCAACATTTGATGGATATTTAACCTGAAAATGAGATTAAAATCAATATAACATGTAATCAATGTCTTCAATGACATACCTGTAAGACATGAGAGGGGACTCTATCGACGACATCGGGAACCACTCCGTGCTCTTCCATATTCCTCCTCAGACTCACTAAACCTATTGAACGCTTCAATTGGGAGACAATTACACTGAAAATGCAAACCAAATAATCGTTGAATTGAATGCCTTTTGAATGCGCTTTAAAGCCAAACTGTTTGGCCCAAACAGAGAGACCTCTCTCTCTCTCTCTCCACTCTTCACACAAACTATGTTTCACTCAAACACTCAATACTTGCCATACATTTGAATACAAGCAATACTTTCATACATTTCATACACTATTACTGTTATATTTATACACTTTTGAAATACTATCAACACTTCGTTACCTCTGTTTTGGACCATATCTTGTCAATGAATTGCAAGCTCTCGACACAAGCGATGGTCTGAGAAGACTATTGATTAACATTTGGATCAATTGGTAGTGAGATTGTGGCGATAAGTTTGGGACGAGTAGTGGTGATCGGATCCAAAGGTGTTATGATATCGTCAATGACACCAAATGTTCGCTTATTTGTGAGCATTAATCGCACGTTAGATATGGACAACACTTCTACCCCTTTATGCCAACCAATACTGTATTACCCCTTCAAATATAGCTGCGCTTCACTGCACGACATCTGCGATGCATTGAAACACACGAAGGAATGCAGTGAATAGAGTACTGCAGAGAAGGCCAACGTTTGGTCGTAATGTGTGAATAGAAATGCTATGACGTAAACATTGACTCACTTTTTGTGTATAGTTTTAATCATTTGTATTATTTTTGAGTGAATTTAAAATAAAAACAAATAAATAAATAATTATTTAAATCATGTCTCAAATGAATTGGTTTTGATTTGATATCGTTTTTAATTAATTAATTAAATATGAATTCAATTGTTATTGAAAACAATGTATTGGAAAATGTTTGACAAATATTCACAACATTTTGATGTCATTTATAAATAGATTTATTTTAATTGATATTAATTTATATAAAGATTACAAAATTGATTGCAATCTATGTTTGCATTGATTTGGATTTGAGTTGAATTGTTTGCCACACATTGAGCTCTTGAGAGCAATCAAGTGATCGATTGATCGGTTGGTTGTTTGGACACAATGTCTGGAAGTGATGGGAAGTGGTGTTGCAATCGTTGCACTTACCATAACTGGTCCAAAGCCAACAAGTGTGCCATGTGTTCAGCCCTAAGACAATCCATTCAACTCATCATCAATGATGACAACACTCTTCAAAACGCTTACAAAGTGAGTGACCAATCATTTCATTCATTATATCATTATAATATTAATAACTGATTGATTGCGTGACAGATGTCTTCGCTGATGGACTCAATGAGTGGTAAGAATGAAGAGAAGTCGTTGACGAAGAATGAGGCGAACAGGAAGTGGTGGTGCGATGTCTGCACTTTTCTCAATCACAACAAATCTCACAAATGTATCCAATGTTTGTCTCCACGAAAGACTCGCAATACAAGCCCTAAACCGGAGATAACGTGTGGTTCGCGACAAATGGCATCCAATGAAGAGCTGTCGAACCAATCGAAAGACATTTCACTCGATGGACAGCCAATTGGTTTGGGAAACAGTAATACTATATCTTCTGACAGCTATTGTAATGATAAGAATAAACAGAATAAATACGAGAGCATTGGAGTTGAGAGTGGATTCAAGTGGTCGTGCAGTGCCTGTACTTATGATAATTGGAACGCTTCCAAGAAATGTGTTCTTTGTTTGACTCTCAGAAAGGTTACCACCAATTGTGGCGAAACACATCAAACCATCACTTCATTGGATCCATTGCTCGATACACACCAAGAGAAACGTAAAGACAGTCCTTCGCCTCCAATGCCTGCAATCGCCGCTAAAGAGTGTACTAATGATAACTATAATAATATAATTAATAATCAGATTAATGAAAATTTAAGTGATATCTCGTCGACAACTAATGAATACATGGATAAAATGCGGGAACAGAGGTGTGAAGAACTCTATGATTTAGACCTCTTTATAGGTGAGAGTTCACGTCCTGTGGCTAAACGAGTGCCGTCTGATGTGAGCCGCTATTTGGCCGCAGAGATCAGGCGTTTGTTTGCGGGTGGACTCAAACAACGCAAAGGAGAGTTCGCCTGTTATTTCGTTACTGAATTCGTTACATTTGCTTTGCCTCAAGAAATTGAAGACTTGTCGCCACCCATTCAACAGCGACTCTTTGATGAGTACTTAGACAGAGACGTCCAAAAAGGTTGCTTTTCTTATACCACTTATTATATCATTGTTTTCATATTTGCATTCATTTTGTACAGAACTGGAAGACGAATCTCCTATTATTAACTGGAGTTTAGAGTTAACAGAAAGATTGGGTTCGCGTTTATACGCTCTTTGGAACCGTTCAACCGGTGATTGTCTCTTGGATTCTGTACTTCAGGCGACTTTTGGTATATTCGACAGAGAGAACAGTATGAGGAAAGCTTTGGGGGACTCTCTAAACGAAGGCTCTTCTCTACTGTTCCCACGTTTCAAAGAAGCGGAAACACTTCAGGCGAATCTCTTACACTTCACTCTCGATGACGATCAATGGCGAGAAGACTGGGCTGTTATTCTCTGTACGTATTGTATAAGTGTTTGGTTATATTTAAAGCTTGTTTATTGATATTCTGCTATCCAATGTGTGAACAGCACTGGCATCACAACCGGGACAGAGTCTGGAACAGATCCATATCTTTACGTTAGCGCATATTCTTCGGCGTCCAATCATTGTATACGCGATTCGAATAGTGAAGAGTTTTAGAGGCGATTCTTTGGGTTACGCCGGATATGAAGGCATATATTTGCCTCTTCTCTGGGAATCGAGTTTTTGTTGGAAATCTCCGATAGCTTTGGGTTATACGAGAGGACACTTCTCAGCTCTGGTACCCATAGAACCGCTGCCATCAGACGAACAGATCGGCGCCGGCGCTAACTTTAGATCTAATGACGACAACGAAGTGATATATTTACCATTAGTGACATCAGAGCTGCAGGTACTGCCCCTTCACTTCTTGGGCCACAACGAGTTGGGCAGAGAAGAGGACATCATTAGGCAGTGGTTGGACTGTTGTGTCACAACCGGTGGTATATTAGCCGCCAAACAGAAGATTCCAAGAAAACCCTTATTAGTGGCTCAGATGATGGACGAGTGGCTCGATTTCTATAGAAACCTTCCGCAGCCCTCCATCTCCGCCACTGAACGGATGTCCATTAAGACAAACGACTTCTCCAGTGATGACTCCGATCAAGAGATCTGATTGTGATATCCGTCCACACAATCAATGAGTACTTTTAGTGTAAATTTTGAAAATATTAGAGAAATAATTAAAATGTTATCAATTAAACACTATTTTATTTGGATTTCATCGAAAACTTTACACAATTTTATTGGTTTTAAAAATTATAAATAAAGTATTGAATATATTATATAATTATAGAATATATTATAATATAATTATAGAGTGTTTACAGTATATATTATATTAGTTTATCTAATCATTAATTAATGTTAATCTTCTCATAAATAAACTGTAATTCATTATATTTCTAAACACTGTATAAATCATTTATTTATCAAACTTTAGGACGGCTTCGTTCATGACGTACACATGTATAGTACAAATACTAGTAATTAATTGCTTAAATAATGACTAGAATTGCCACTTGATTCACACCATCACTGACTGGTGATTGGAAAATGAGGATTGATTGTAAGAATCGTTATTTCCTTATTGTTTATATGATATGAAATTATTAAAAATATTGATGAGTGTGATTAAGACACAACTCATGGTCTCGAGGGTCAGCCCACCCTCCGTTCGCTTTTGGCATTCGGAAAGGCTTTTGACTTTTTTGTTGTAAAATCATTTGTTTGGGAAAGAGATAATTCTTTGACACCTTAAATGTGTCTTCAATTGTCTCAATCATCTCTTTATTATTGCAACGTTTAGTCTTGTGATGGAGACCACACTCTCCCGTGTGATACACTCTATACATATGTATAATATATGTGAGCAAATGTTCATAACAAATTCATTTAATAATTTGATTGCCGGTAATCTCTTATAATTATACGATACAAACCTCGGGATGGAAACGAATAGTGTATTAAGCGGTGATTTGAGACAATTTTCGCTTATAAATTGCAAACTCCAATCCCTTAATTGTAATAAAACTTAAGAATATATAACTTTTTTGCATTAATGCCACTAAATTTAAATACCAATTGTAGTCATCGTATGTACAAAAACTTTGAGCGCAATCTTTAATTTCTCGCCATATATAGCTTGAGAATAATTTTCATAATTAAGACCATAATTATAATAATTTAAAATGACGTTAAAATACCGATCAATAATAAATGCCATATTATGTCGACTAGAAATCCAACGACTTCTTTCAATTTTGTCCGCATTTTTGTTAAATTCAACGGAACGGACATAAGAGCCCAATGTTATCACTTTGCTTTTGTCATCATTACTGTAATCGTAATAAATTACAATTACATTTGATTTTCATTCATAACTATTATAATACTAAACTCAATGCGAAATTGTTTAATAAGTTTCCAGACATACAAAGTATCGGGCGATAAGTAATGATCTTCTTCTAAAAACATCTATAATATTAAAGTGAACTTAAGTTATAGTGAATGCAATTGTAGTGATTGACGGGTACTGACAAAGTGGCCGGAATGGTGTCGAGTGATGTCCAGTCCGTCCAACACTGCGTTCACTTTCCACCAGAAATGGTGTTTAGTTTGAGTGAATTTCGCTTCTCTGAAGTGGCCGTAAGAGTCGGAATTGAATCGGTTTTTGCAACCAATCCTTAGCGCCCTTTCAGTCACATCCAAATCAAAACTTACATTAAGTGAACAAACTATGAAAACAAGTCAATACTCACTCTTTTACGGTCACATCTCGAGGACAATCTTCGGCCGAATCGCCCGGAAATGAGTTGGGATTCAATTGAAGAGATTTCGGGTAAAATATTTGTATTGTCTGACAAATCAATTGGAAATGATTGTTATAACTGTAACCAAGAAGTGGTAATCTCTCACTTACTTTGCAAAATGTAATGGAAGTGACCATTGAATTGATCTTCGGATCAAAGAGATCGTGACTGAAGACTAGCAACACTTCTTCGATGTGTTTAGTTTTGGCAAACGATTCAATCAAAGACAACAAATAGTCGGATCTGTTGTGCACTTGTATTATGACAACCAAATCATTGTCTAAAAGTGGACCAAATGTCTTCAAATTGTGCACTTCTTGTCGTTGATTGATCTCATCAATGGCTCGTTTCAATTGATTCACCGAAAATGGTGTCAATACTTCTTCGGATGGTTTCGATAAGTTTGAGACCATTTGACGAGCGATTGGTTTAATGTTTTTGTTGTGATTTTCGTAATAATTAGTGATTTTAAAGTGAAACCAAACAAAAGTCAATACAATTAACAGTAAAATCACTTTCAAAACAATCACTAGTTTTTGATTCAATGTTTTCATTTCAAAAGACATTCATTTGTGACAAACCTTTAATTCATTGAAACGTTTTGTTTGTTTTGACAAAACATATGATTCTCTCAAATGTTTGCTCAAAATTGAGTTCACTTTTCAATACA